CTTTAGCTTTCAAAGGAAAATGTCCGATGGTTTCAGAAAGTCATACATAAAACTCGCGAATTGTTTAATCCAAATTTTGTCGTTCAAGTAATTATCAATATGTAACTGTTGATTTTGTGTGTTGAAAATCAATATTAATTTGTTGCATTAAATATATATTTTATTATTTAAATCAAATATTTATAATTTACATCTTTATTGTGTGAATAAAAGTTATAAAGTGAATAAGTTAAGATGAATAAGTTAAGTGAATAAGTTAAGTGAATAAAAGTTAAAATGGAAAATTCCTCAAGTTTACACACTTCGAGAAGGTGTTTCGTTTTGAAATCCACGACATTCCAATCTGATCTTTCGTTCGAAATATTCCATAAAGTGTCCTTTATTAAGAAATGAAAAACTTTAATTGTCATTTTTTGCCTATCTAATAATTGCTATATGCATTTTTTTTTCAGGACACAGTTGTGATGAAAACCTTCGAAACAACCGAGAGTATCGTGTACAAAAAATTTCGAGGTCAATTTGAATACCTTGATGCTTTGCTTGAACAGTATTCAATATTTCGAATCAACATATCAAAATATTCACCGGAATCTCTCTAAATTTTAGAATCGCCACGAATGAGGAGCTGTTGCGAAGTTTGTCACTCTCTTCTGATCTTTTCGTACTTCTCGAATGCATTCATTGAAGAAAGGAAAAGAATTGCCAACCGTTGTAAAAATTTCATTATTTCTTAATCCCGATGATGCCACATGACACATCCAAACGTGATTCAACGTATAACGTACGATGTATAATTTCGAGAGAAAAAAAATAAAGAATAAAATTTGTTCTCAATTAAAAACAATTTCATTGTATTTCTAAAACTAAAAAAGAAAACAAATTGAGGTCTGATAAATAAAAATAGATAAATAGAAGTCATTCCACAGTTTTCGCGCGGTTTTCATCATTTCAGGCCCACCGTGCGACGTCGAGCCGCCGATGTTCAACAAAGCGACAGCCGAGCTCTTCGGCCACGCTATCGTCGTCTTATGCAACGTGAGTCTCATTACGTGATAAGTCGGCTAGATACCTCTTTCTGCGGTGGGTTTCAGCGTAAAAAGTATACATTCTTACCGATCGACGAGCGATCGTCACGTGAGGATAGTCAAGCTTTTCCACACAGAAATTGACAACGTAACTCGAGTCCTCCTATCGGGTTACGTAATCTTAACATCCTCGTCTAGCTGGATCGTAACCAAGAGAAGTTATTAACGCCCGTCCGTGACTCTTCTCACTTTCCGACATCAGTGTCAACGACATTAAAAACGATTTAACGACGATTTTTACAATGGATATAACATGCTTTCTCGTTATATGGCATTTTATCTGTATGTACGCACACATATATATATATATATATATATATATATATATATATATATATAT